GGAAATTTTACATTAATAAATGTACTTAAAATGCTCAGTTCGAATGAATAAATAGAAAATTTTAAAACAATTATCTGAAGAGACAATGCAACTTAAACAATTAAAAGTCTAAAAATTTAAAAATTACCTAAAATAATAACTATGACCAAAATATATATATATATATATATATAAGAAAACTATTTGAAAAAAAATAAATGATGCACCTTTTATCTAAACTATGCAGTTCGAATAGGTAAATAGAAAATTTTAAAACAGTTATTCAAAAAAACCATTCAACTTAAACAATAAAATGAAATTCGAAAAGAAAATTACTTAAAATAATAACAATTACAATTAAAATATAATATAAAGAACATTATTTGAAAAAGAAACGATTGTGGACTTTTTCCCCGCTCAGGAAAGGAAATAAGTTGCCATATATTAAGAGTTTGCCAAGTGAAACTATTCTTGGCGCAACTAAAAAAAAAAAAAGCCCACATGAATTTGTGAATTTCTCCGTAAATTTCGCACCAATTTACAAAAATTTCATATATAGGCATAATTCAGTCGCGATCGAATATGGAAAAAATTGGTATGTTATTTCAGAAAAAGTCTGATTTTGTGTCAAAATACCTATGTTAGAATAGAGCTATATATAAATCTAATATATATCCTAAGTCGTGCTTTCGAGACATGAAGAATGTAGTTTGAATTTCGTCAATCGTCCCAGTAGAACGGAAGATATAGAACTGTCCGCCCCTTTTTTTTTCCCGCAGAGTACAAATACATATAAACAGTATTTTTAAAATACTCTATACATAATATTTTTAAAATTTATCATAATACCTTGAATTAGCTATGAATTAAAAAAGCACTTATTAGTACAATTAAATATGCAGATTTCACTATTTAAAACTAAAGATGTTTTTATATTCAAATTCCTTAAATGTAATGAAGAGCAAAACTAAGAACTTTATTCTAATCAATTCTGTTCAATTTATAACATAATATTTCTTATTTTTTTCCAAACCTGTTTCAGTCATAATGTGATCTACTCTTAAAAAATACTGTGTATAATTTCTTTCTCTTAATACTTTTCTCAAATTAATTTCTTTTAGTATTACATCTCCTAACCTGGCTAAATTTTCGTTTTCTTAAAAACAGATCTACTCTTAAAAAATACTGTGTATAATTTCTTTCTCTTAATATTTTTTTCAAATTAATTATTTTCTTTTAGTATCACATCTCCTATCCCAGCTAAATTTTCTTTTTCTTAAAAATAATGTATTGTTTGCAGCACAAAATTTTCATAATTCTAATTACTTACATAAAAGAAAATTTCAATTTTATTTACACACTTTGAGAAAAGTTAAAAGATATATAAAACATCATGCAACTTGAATTATTTTACAGCTAAGAACATGGAACTAGCATAAAATCTTTATTTTGTCATGCCTGACATATCTTTAAAATGCAAAATTACCTATTTTTGCAAAAAATAAATTTAAATAAGAATACAAAGTTACATAAAGTCAGGGAAGGAAAAGTTAGAAAACTTTTAAGAGAAACACAGAAGAATTTAATAGGGTTATGGTAACCTCTGACCAAAATGCAATTTTCACAGCAATTTTCTATGCTGTTAAAAGTTCCAGGAGTTCCAGTAGCAATCATGGTAAACAGCACCTTGAAGCCTTTTCAGAATCCTAGGAGTGCTGCAATGATGCATGTCAGATACCCTAGTGTGTTTCATACATGTTCTATCAGATTTAAATCTGGAGAATATATGGGCCATTACATCTGCTGGATTAATTCCTCCACAGGGTAATTGATCATTAGTGTAACATGATGATTACAAGCATTACCATCCATTAGGAGGAAGTTATTACTGATTGAACACCTAAGCAACTTGACATAAGGATCAAGAACCTCAGCTCCATATGTTTCAGCATTCATTGCTGCATAGGTAGAAATATGTAAGTTAGTATGGCCATTCAAATGATGTCCACTCATATGATTCTACTACTTTTGTGCTGCTGTCTTTAAAGAATATTTTTAGGCTAAGCCACATGTGTTCTGCTACCTCTTAACTATAAGATGTCTAAAATGACTCTTCAAACAAAAATGAGACACATGAGTTAAGAGAACTCGATTCAGTTCATGGTACTCCAATAAAGATGTTCTCTGTATCACTGTAACCCGCCACAGCCCTCTTTAATACAGCCTATCACTTGTGTATATATAGATAGTCAAGTTCCTGTAGCTGTAGTGAACTCCCTTATGTTCCTGGTTTGAAGTACTTCTTTACACTCTTTTCCAATATCCTAAAAGAACGGGTGGAAAAATTCGCATATTTCTAAGTAGCAAAGGTGAATATAAATGGACAACTGGATAACATTGATCTCAGGGATCGATTACTTTGCACTGGATTCCATTAAATATAATTAACATAAAGCATCTTCTTATACTTGACCCTTCACTATTTCCCACTAATGATATCGTCTTTAGAACCCTCCCAAACAGATTAGCTTTTACAAGTTTGATTAAATCAAAACAAATACAAGTTCATGTATAGATTATAATCTTAAAATGGAAAAATGGCTATCAATTTTATTAATGCATTTAACATGCCCATTAGTAGAAAAATGTATTCTGAGTTTAAATCTCATGAGAAACTAATGCCTTAACAATGGTATTAAAATAAAGTTCATTTCTTAAGTGCCAGGAGAAAACCAACATCTGTGACCTGTAATTTAAAATAGACCATCATGGCAAACAAAAGTTAGTATAAAGAAACAGAAGAAAATCATAATATAAGAAATACCATCAGCAACACACTGAAGAGTAGACCACATACATTCTGCAATAAATTTATCATAAAAATGAAGATGATGTGAAGGTATGCTAATGAAATTACTCACCAAGATCTCCCAAATTACCTGATTTTATCTAAAAATAAATAACTGCATTTCAGCAAAGACATTACTAATGATTTGTAGTTTTCCCACTTTTTCTATATATTAATAATTTCTTCTTCAACTTTTAAAATAACTTTTTTAAAATTACAGGACATGTTTAAAGCTGTAACTGTCAGGCTGAATGCCAGATATTTGGTAATCCTATATGAAAGGTGTGTCCAATCAAATAATAATCAATGTTAACTTTAAGGAGACAATGCTTCAATTCTTTTTTTTAAATAGAAAATATACGAGGGGCAATCAAAAAGTTCCCTGAATTTCATTGTAATTCTTTATCATCACAAATAATTCACTGATTTTTTTACTACCACTATATTCATTTACTACCCAAATTCATAACTGGCTGTGAGCGGGAATGTAGCTGAAGGTAGGAGCGTGTAATGATCAGTTAGTACAATGGTTGAAGTTCGAGCAAAGGGCAAACATTAAATTCATGCACAAATTGGGGAAATCTGCTTCAGAGACTTTGCTAGCCTTACAAACAGTTTATAGTGATGATTCTCCAAAGATAACAGCTATTTACAAGTGGTTTTCAAGATTTCAGAGTGAGCAGGAATCGCTAGAAGACAAGAGCCACAGTGGGAGACCTCATAACTCTAGTAATGAAGGAATGGTTGAGCAAATGAAACAGTTAATCAGATCAGACAGAAGAATGACCATAAAGAAGTTTGCACAGGAAGTGGGGAGCTCTCATGAATCCATTCACACAATCCTGTCAGATGATTTGAATATGAAATGTGTCAGTGCAAAGTTTGTCTCATGGCTTCTGAACCCAGTTCAAATGGAAACTTGTAGTTGACTGAAGCCAAATGTTTTGAAAAATGCATGCAGAATCCAAGATTTTTTGTGACAGTTGTTACTGGTGATGAGACCTGGGTGTTACTTACCACCCACAGACAAAGATGCAGTCACAAGAATGGCACACAACGTCCTCTCCTTAACGAAAGTGTGTAATGATCAGTTCACATCATGCCAAATCCAAAACAAAAATGATGCTCATTGTGTTTTTCAACAACAAACATGTTGCATACCATGAATTTGTACCACTTAGACAAACTGTTAATGGCCTTTTCTACATGCAAGTTTTGAAAAGAGTGAAGGAGGCAATCCAAAGAAAACATTTCGCCAAATAGCAAGGAGAATGGTCACTGCATCATGACAGTGCTCCCTCCTACACAATGCTTGTTGTGCAGATATGATTCACAAAACAGGAACATTCCACTCCTCCACCAGCCTCCCTATTGACCAGATTTAGCACTATCAGATTTCTGGCTCTTCCCCAAGATCAAAATGAGCCTTAAAAGTAACTATTTTGACACTGGAGAAGACATCAAAACCAACACGTTGGTTGAGCTTTGAAGATACAACAGGGCTTTCATCATTTCTAGCAATGGCAGGAGCAGTGCAGTAAGTGTGTGTATTCTGACATAGCCTACTCTGAAGGCAATTTAATGTGTACCTCAATTATGGTAACAAAGAATTACTATGAAATTCCAGGAACTTTTAGACTGTCTTACATTATGTTAGCTATGGATTTTGTCAGTGTAACATAAGTGTGCTCACCTACGCACTAAGTTACTCTGACTTCAGATTTCAGGCTTCAGCCTTAATATTGGATATTCAGATCCTTAACACTGGATTAATTATTTTAATACAAAGTATCAAAATTCATATTTGAAAATATACACATAAATAAAAATGTAAAGAATAGCCTGCAGTTGCTTGAGCCAGACATTTTGATTCACTTGGTTAAAAAGAATAGGGGGGGGGGAATTTTACAGATTTATAAAAAATAGTACATAATATCAAATACTAAATTTTACAATATTCTCTGTTTTCTTTATTCTGTATAATGAGCTTTATAATGATTATCATGAATTTTGTCAGTGTTATATTTTATAGTTTAAATATTGAATGAAACCAATCTGTAAGTATCCTTTTATTTTATAAATATTTAACAGATTATTTTTTTTCCAATCTGTCTACTACACTTATGGGAAGTGAGCATAAAGAAATGCAATATATCAGCACATGATTACTTACATGGTAGGAGGCAGCAAGGATAGCCAGGGCTGGATTTTTGATTTCAAAACTTGTGTGTAAGAGATACTCCCATGGTGTGTCTGAACTGTGAGCTAATAACAATTGACTGAACAGATCTTTCAAAACAAATGACCCTGTAAAATAAAATCAACAAACTGCTTCATAAAACACAACTCAAATGAAATAAAGAGTTTGATATTAAAATTAACAGTGCTAGTTTTATCTTAAAATATAAAAGTTTCATCATAATATATACAAAGAACTTCTATACAGATAGATACAATTTCACAAATTTCCATACTTAAATCTACATCTGATGAAGAAGAAGAAGTTTCTTCAGTAGCAATGGAGCTTTTGTCCTCATCCTGTTCAGGAGTTTTCTCTATAATAATGCAAAATATTTAAAAATAACTCATATGGTCTATAAATCACAATAACAATTCATGTGTGTTACTTGCATACAATTTAAAAGATTATTACAAAGATCACAAAAGGTAAGCATCAGAATTAAATGTAACATATTTTAAACATAATGCAAGTTCTGTTCTGTTCAATGGACTGTTCAATGGACAAGTTCTGTTCTTTCTAAAATTTATGTGGTTTAATCTTTACTATAGCTATGTTAGTCTCTACATATAATAAAACAAAGAGTCTGTCTGTGTGTGTGTGTCTTTTGTTCGCGCTGCGCGTAAGCTAATAGACCCACGGCTATGAAATTTGGTACATAGGTGCATCTAGACAAGAGCCAGTGCCCCTCAAAACGTTTTTCTCGAAATTCGAATAAGAATTTTTTTAATTTTATGTTTTGTGATGAAATCGCGTCATTTTGATACATAATGGGCTATAGGAGAGCGAGATTTTACTCTACACACTCCATTTTCACACATCGTCATGAAACGTAGGCACTTAGCTATTTTACAAACTTAAAATAATTTTTTGTGTTTCAATAAATCGATTAAATACGAATTTATTTAACAAAGGGAGCTTAACACCTTTTCAGCGTGGATTTTTTCTAAAAAGTTTATTTTTAAAAATGTACAGTTTTATTTTTCTTTCATTTTTGGACACATTCATCCTTAAAACTGCTTTTAAAAAGAATTTTGGAAAAATGATAATATTTTGTATTTTTAAAAATTTTTAAATGAAGCTTCCGATACACTTCTCACATCTCACATCTTTAAAAATGCGATTTTTTTTGGCAACAATTTTCCTCTCTTATTGTTTTGATAGATTTTTGATGAAATCGCATCATTTTGAATAGTTTCATTCTTTTAGAAATATGGGTTTTGGCAACAATTTTTCATCGTATTTCTTATGTCACAGTTTTTAAAAAGATTCACATATTTCATTCTCATTTATATACATATATAATACATTTTTATTGATTTTTTTTGATAAAGTTGTTATAGCTTATTTCATTGCAATTTTTTCCTCTTGAAAATTTAAGATAAAATATCATTAATTATACTTTGCTTTTCAGAATTTTTTGTTTTTTGTATTCTTTTATGTTATTTATTGCTCATTTCACTGTTTTTAAGATATTGAAAAGTTTTGAGTGATTTTTTTAGGAAACAAAGTTCTTAAGCTCCTCTATTTGAGTTCTTAAGATTTTGCAAAGGGGAGTTGGTTAATTTATTTATTATGATAATTAATATTTGTATTAAGGGATATTGCCTATTTCATTGTAATTTTGTTATACATAATAACTTTTTTTATGAAGTTGTTCTGCAGAGTAAAATTCTACGCAGTTTTTAAATTTAACGTTTGGTATTCCCTTCAGCCATTTTTTCGGTACATTTAAAAGCCAGACGAAGGCTGGCAATGAAGCTGCTAGTAATATATATATGAAATATCTGAATGAATTTTTATTATTACGTGTATAAATATGATTCCCTTTTTTTGAGTAAATAAAAGACATTTGTTTTTAAAATAAAAGAAAGATCTATTTCAAAGTATTTTCTATAAGACATACAACATTCGCCCATCTATCAGGCAACAAGGATTCCATGAAAGAAATCTAGTTACTTTCAAATAATCCAGTCATTCTACCCAGTTTTTGAAATCCTCATAAGAACCGAAGCAGTCTCTGTAAAGATTTTTGTGCATGGATCGAAGCTAACAGTAATCTGTAACAAAGAACAACACCTGTGCTGGTGAATACAAGGGGTGAGACAACATATACCAGTGAAGTACATTTTATAATTTCTCTGATAGGTCTTTCAACACATAAGTAAACACTGTTAAGCTGGAAAATAATTATGTAATTTCTCTCAGCATATTTTGAATATTTTTGCTTCAATACTTTGTTCAAATTGATTGTTATTTGTACATTCAGTGATTGTCTAACTAAGTGGCAACAGCTGAAATATTTTTGGTGATATCCCATGCTCTTTCTCAGGCTATCAAAGTTATTATTTTTAAACCATAAAAACCATTCTTTGCAAGTTGTATTCAATGGAACGTGTTCATTATAAATTTTCAGCAAATGGTATGTTTCTGCTGCAGTTTTCTTTGCAGTACGTAATTAAGTAAAACTTCCTATCCAATAAAATAAAACTTCTTGCCATGGATGAAAACAAATGATTTCTTGACAGGTGTTGCGCACTAATTATTAGTCAAATATTCAGATTCAGTTGTATATAAGTAATAATAATATAAATAAGAAGGTTGCAAAATAAATATAATACATTTTTCAATTATGAAAAAATAAACATTAGTTAAAATAGATTCTGCAATGGCTCACTAAAATGTGCTGTAAAACAGCAGGTCAAGATAAATAAAGAATAATTAATTGAACCTGACCCTTTTTATCACAGAAGGCCCCCACATTTAAAGAACTATCCATTGTTAAACAAAATTTTAGAAAATGCAGCTGCAGTAAGCTTAGAATGGGAGATTGACTCTACAGCTTCAAATTAGAAATACAGTTCTTTCAGTTTTGTACATTTTATAATATAAAATGAAGTAAACAGTTCTCTGATATTTAGTTATTTTAACTAAACATAGAAGCATGAGTGTTAAGAAAATAATAATAAATAATAAATAAATAAAAATAATAAAGATAGCTGCACATATAAATGATTTACTTCTTAAAGATTAAACCAATATTTTAAATTATTTTAATTTATTTTACTTTATAACAAAATATTATACTACATTCAAAATTTGTCCTCATAGAGAGCTATGAAAAGTTTAAATATTGAGATTTCATGATATCCCACTTTATTCAAATAAGCCAATGTCAAAAAGGTACATATTATACAAACAAAATTCAACAAAATCCATTATTTACTTACTCAGCTCTACGGGAGATGTTCCTTGTTTTACACCAATACGGGAGTATAAAGATTTTCTCATGTCTCTCTCCTCTGATTTCAAAACAGTACTAGATTTTGTCTTATATGCAACATCATAGAGCAAAGCTGATCTTCTGTTAAGTGCATGGGAAATGTGATATGATATACAAGAATTAGAAAACCTAGACACTGCTTTTAGAACCTAAAAATAATTTATTTTTAAATATGTAAAGATTAAATTAGTTACAACAAGCTTCAAACTGCTAAAATATTTTAAAACATTAAAAGGAGGAAAAAGAAATGTAGATATATTTCTAGTATAAGATTAATGTAAAATTTCTCAAATTAACATTAAGCATTAAAAAAGTTTGCAGTGAAATGACAAAAATACAGAACATGTAAAATTTCAGGAAATGCAATCCTAATTTTATAAAGCTTCAATCTTAAAATTTGTGCTTTTAGAATTTGCAAATATGAAAGATTAAATAAAATTCAGAAGGTGGAGGGAAGAGAAATACATAAATTATTGTAATGTATTGCAATTTCATTGTTATTACTAAATTTTATTTGTTACATAGCTGATAGTAAACAAGTAGAAAAATGAACAGCAAAATTATGAAACCGAGATGTGTAATACATTACTAAAGAGATACTTTTTATTAATAATATCAATAGTTTAAAAATATAATACAATAAAAAGATAATATTATGAAACACACCTCTTTTTATGATTCACTTTATTATATTTAGAAGCAATACTTTTTTTACAATTTAGGAAACAAATGAAAGATCTTGTGTAATTTTGCTGGAATAAAACAAACTAAAAAAATTAATAATTTGAAAAGTTCCTTACTTAAGTCACAAAATTACAGATATTTTGAATTTTCTGATTTATTTAAGACAGTTTCTTTCTTTCTTTTTTTTTCTTTTTTTTTTTTTTTTTTTTTTTTTTAAGTTAGAGATTTTAGGGAGGCACCTACATGAGTTATAAATTAAAATCCAAAATTCTGTATTAGTGAAGCTCACAGAAATATGTAAGTATGAACAAATTATTAGCCTAAAAGGAATATTTTCAAAATTATTAGATGTAGTTTTCAATCATGAAATTTTAATTTACTGACAATGATTTAATAATCAGTATAAATATTTTTTAAGCATTTTGAAAATTTAAGCATCCATTCAATTAAGAACAATCCCCCCTCCAAATATCCATGCAAAGGTACCATATTTGAAAAGGTATTAAATGAAATCCACTCTTTTGTTTATTCTTCTTTACTATAATTTTTCTTTCATAAAGACTGGAGATTTTTTAATGAATTTATATGAGGTCCATTTTTAAATCCTCATATAAATGCATTCAAATATGATGTACAAATAATGGATACAGGGTAATATCCATTTGTATGACATATAAGAAAATCTGCCAAATTTGGGGTAAACATGGTCCTTCTTGACTTATCTGGTAAAGCTTGTGTAACTGCCACTGTGATCCCTTTTCTCCAATAACATTGAGATGGGACAGGACAGTGACCAATGAGTAAGAGGTATGGTGAAATGTCATGAGATTTTGGCCAATGAAGAACAAGACTGGAAGGAAAAACAAAAAACAAAATTGTAACAGGCATCAATTGCTTGTATTTATGTATACTAAAAAACTTAAACAATTAATTTTGTAATTAAGACACAATAAATGAATTCCATTGATCCTGCTATTCAGTTCACTTTCAAACTTGAGACTTGCAATTTCTCTTCCGTTTCTCGACATTCTGGTCACACGTAACACATCCAACTTCAGTACTACGGTTTACCGTAAACCTTCATTGGTTTGCCTTCCACCACACTTTATATCATGTCATACGACTAAACAAAAGTTAGCTTCATTTTATTCCTATGTTTTCTGTGCTCTTCAAGTTTGCTCTTCCAAACTAGCCCTTGATGAAGAACTAAATTATTTAAAAGCAATAGCTATTGACAGGGGCTTTTCACCCAACATTATTAATCAAGCAGTTAAAAAATTCTCATCTCAACACACTAAAAGGCACACTCTTGTTTTAGGAGATTATAAAAATTCTGTTGTCATTCCCTTCTTTCCATCAATTAGCTATAAAGTTGCACATATTTTGCAGAAATTTAACTTTCGGGTTGTTTATTCTCCCATCAATAAAATTCCGAGTTCCATACTCAAGGACCCCATTCCGGATATGAATTCCTGGGGTATTTATAGGATTCCTTGCCAGTGTGGTTTAATTTACATTGGCCAAACTAAGAGAGCCTTAAAATTTCGCGTCAAGGAACATGAGGCATATGTTAGAAAAAAGGAAACACAGAAGTCTTCTGTTGCTCAACATTGTTGGTCCGAAAATCACACTTTCAATTTTTCTGCTGCCAAAATTATTCAAAAAACATCTTCCATTGGAGAACTGGATTTTCTAGAGGCATTTCACATTCATAAAAATCTTTCTGTTCTAGTTAACGATCCTAATTCCAATCCAAATTTGCCTTCGGCCTTTAAAGAAATTATGTTTTAGTTCTGGTTTCGCCAACAGATGGCGCCACTTGCTTATTCTTGTCCAGGCTTTCTTATCTTATCTAATCATTATTTCCTATCTTGTTCATTTGTGGTTTTGCAGCTGAGGATGGTGGTTTGGTAAAACCATCGAAACTAGTCCTGTGAAAATTTTGTAAATATAATGCTGATTTTTGTTGTTTGACTTCTGAATTAGTAATTAATTTTGTGTTCAGATCAGTAGTCAAATTGCATCATTTATTTCTGTTTGCTGCTACAGCTAACAGGCTTCTAAGAAAGGAGCCTGGGAAAGTGCTAAAAATCTTTCTAACCATGAGATAGCAACATAATACTACATCAGGTAATACTTTTACCTTATTTTTTGTTCTAAAATTAGTTTTTTGGCATAATGAACATATAATCCATGAGAAGTTTTTCTTATTTCCTTTTTTTCTAGAGTACTAGTCCTGTATTTGAGGTAAAAATTCTGTTTTTAAAAACTGATTTATTGTTCTTGTTCCACAGTTCCTCCATAATATATAACTTTCATAGACCTTTAATATTCCTCACATTACCAGATTATTACGGGATGCTTTTCAAGTTGATGAATACATACTATTTTAAAAACAATTTTTTTAAAGACAATTTAAAACATGTATTTAAGTTAGTATATTCACTATTGTTTTTTTTTTTTTTTCCCTGTGTGTGTCAATATTTTAAGTGAAATTGAGTAAATAACAAGCAAAAATTGAATCAAAAATTTACCAATATTATAACTTATTAAACAAAAAAATATAACATTAAAATTTTAATTTACTTAATAAAACATATAATAAGCATGAAAATATATTTAAAGATAATGACAAACAGGTTGTTACCTTAAATAATAACAGCAATATAAATAAAAATTAAGAGCTACAATTATTAATTTAAAATCTATAATATGCCATCCGATTTGATATGGCCCTTCTGTACAGCCAAAAGTCCCCTTGAGAAGTTGGTGGTAGCAAATGAGAGGCATGAGAAGTTGGTAGTAGCAAAAGAGACCACTGCATTCCACTGCCCATGGTGTTTTTGATCAAAATTTTAATGAAGCTGGGAAAAAGGCATATTATGACCTATAATGTGACCAAGACTTTGGCAAATAAAAGGTGTTTTTTTTTCCTTCTCTTGGGGATGAATTTGTGCATGTGTTTTGATAAATTTCAAATAAGAAGCAACAACAACATAATTATAATACAAAAATGCATATTTTCAAATAACTGTTGATAAAATTGTGGTCCCCAAATTTAGAATGCCGTGGACCCCTTCTTGAAATAAACCTACGTAAGGGAATAATAGAAAAACTACAAATTTACGTTTCATGTCTTGAATGGCAAATGGTGAAATAGAAATAAAATATAAATAAAACATTTTGTTAATAAAATACAATAAACATATTTACTGAAATTCTAACTTTTGTTTTAAATTACCAAACACACTTTTTTCCCTAATGTGATGGGTGAACCTGATGGAATGATATGAAATTATTTATTTTTGTCTCTAACATTCTTAAGTCTCCATTTCGTGATGAGGCTTATACCAGAATTAAATCTACATTCCATTAAATAGGAAATTATGGAAAAGCAATCAACAGCTTCTTGACAGTGACCCATAATGCAGGATATAAAACTGGTATCTATTTTTTGTAACCAGAATTCGTGGTATCCTTGTTCTAACACTGGTTTCAGCTGTTCATTTGTGAATAATTAGTAAATTTCTCATCTCTCTCCTGTATTAGTATTGTGGTGTAGTGTTATTGCTTCAACAGTGTGGTGTTGAACTCCAATGAAAACGCTAATGATAGAACACCACATGAAAATTTTATCGAATGCCCCCCCCCAAAAAAATGGCTACATATGATCAACAACCAGAGAAAAACGTAAATCTTTTTCTTAAAATCAAATTCTATACATTTTACGTGCGAGAGCCATACGTGGCTCTCGAGCTTGCGTTTTAACATTGCCAACAGTTAATTATTTTATAACAACCTTTTAAAACTTAAAACTATTCAATAAATAAAATTTTATTTTATGCTCACGAGACATCCTTGCCATTTTAATTTCAGTTTTTCGCCTTGATGGAACCTTATTACAACTCCTCTCCTCATAAAGGAATTTTTATTACTATGGAAGAAAAATTCTAAATACTTTTCACTCTTTCAAAACACAGTGTTTAAAATTTTAGTATAATTTAATGTGATAATAGAGAAGGCCAGTTACATTACCCTGCACTTATTTCTAGATAAATAAACAATAAATACAACAAAAATTTAACTTCTTAATCTCACAAAGTAAATTTCAAATTACAAAATGCTAATACTTAAACTTTAGTCAAACCATTCCCCAACTATGACAAACAAAACACAATGCAAACAAATTTAAAACAAAACTATAATAAAAAATGCTACAAAAACCTTTACGGAAACTATCATTTTCCAGAATCTCTGCATTAATAGAAAAACTCGCCAAGCTGGTTATGTCTCCTTATACATTGCACGCCATATACATATTTTGATTCAGCATTATAAAATATCACTTTTACAGCAAGGCTATTTGGAAGAATTCTCAGAAAAAGTCTTGATAGAAATGGGTTTTTCGAATATCGAATTCTGCAAATCTTGTGTTCCTTCAGTATGCGATATAATAAATTTTGTT